TGGGCCAGTGCAGTGCTGTACCAGGTGAGCTACAGAGCAAGTTTACTATGTCTGAAAAAAAAGCCATACATATGGAGCTGGTTATGTGATTCAAACATAAAAATGTATTAGGTAAGGGAAAATGTAAATAAATCCAATTGTTATCGGAGAATAAACACAGATAGGTAGGCCTGTCACAATGACAGCTTTTTGTCGTGCGATATATTGCCCCAGAAATAATTGCGATAAGCGATATTATTGTCATTTTAAAGACCATTTAATGCCACTGAATATATAATCATAATGTAACAGCATAATAATGCAAGAAGGCTTATACACTTCCAAATGACAACAAACTTTAAATTTTTAAGAATATTTAGATCATGGAAATTAAGTATTAAAATATTAGATACCTTAAAAAACTTGAATAAATAGTAAATAAACATTTTCTAACAAAAAGTGCAAAGTTGTATGGAGAGTTTTCCATCTACAGATTTTTCCCTGACTTTCTTTTCTCTGTAAATTAAGGGTGCACACACTATTGCTGAAAAACACAATCACTACTTAGCAGTCAGATGTCCGTATGCACAAAGGCACAGATCCCTAAACAGGGCCATATCTGCAGATGAAACTTTGTTTGTAGAAGCATTTTTTAAATTTGAACTAGCACCTCATGACTACACCACGTTATGTATGAGAAGCTGCAAAAGACACAGGCGCAAGTGGAATGTACAAAACACGGTGACATTAATTTTTAAGTAAATATAATGGGCTATATATTGCGCCACCAAAAATGATTGAGGTCATGTACATGTATTGCGCGATAAGTCGATATATTGATTATTGCGACAGGCCTACAGATAGGGTGATCAGGACCCCGACGCAAAGCGGAGGAGAGCTGTGTAATAATTTACAAATCATGTACTATAGTATGTTTTGATGTTATGACATAATATTATGCAAGGAACCGTGCAGTAATAAGTCTTTATTTATTGATAATGTGCCCCTGCAAGCATAGTTTGTGTGAAATAGAATAAGTTGTTGGCATTTTACTGCCTCTAGTGTTCTTTTCAGCTGGAAACTGCTGTGAAATGTTTGTATAGGTACGTTTTTGCAGTTTTACAGGCATGAAGGCAAAGTCATATAATTCCAGGGTTGAACTATTTTGTTATATAACTATATATTTCTTACATAATTCAGTATCACTTAGGGCTGCACGATTATGCCAAAAATCATAATTGTCGATTATTCCCTTGAAATTGTAATTGCGATTATTCATTACGATTATCACAATTTAAACAAGCTGAAAACTGTAATCGCGATTAGAAATTTGATTAATTGTGCAGCCCTAGTATCACTCCACTCTTACTGTGTGCATTTGATTGTGTTATTCAATTACATCAGACAGTGTGTTCTACAAAAGCCATTAGCAGCACACAGGGCCTCTTGGTATTCATCTTCATTCTGATAGCTCACTCCTCACCTATTTTCCACCTGGGTGAATACGACCTGCTGTGCCCCCTGGAACAGCCATCTGAAGTGGCTTAATGAATCTAAGAGCATGTCTGTCATAGTCTTGGCTTCAGTCCACCCTGAGTAAGCACTAGGCCTGTGTGTGATTCAACTACATTAAATTGTGTAAAACACGACAGGATTGGTGAAAATGCTACTGACTTGGGTTACCACATTAGACATGCATGAGCTGTGATTTATTATTATTATTATTATTACAGGGTTGCTTGCTTTTCAGAAAGCCACTAGATAATGAAGGCTCTCAGCATCAAATGAGCAGTTAATGACAGCAGAGGCTACTGAATTTGAATTACTGGACCCAGAAAATGATTGTTTTTCTGTTTGACATACAAATTCATACCCTTGTTTTGTAGCCATTTGTAAAACTGTTTATATGCCCCTGAGGTCTTAATGCAATTTATCATGAAGTCTACTATGAAGTTCTGCATATAAATAGATTGTTGATCAGGAATCGGATCCAAGATGGTGCCAGTGTGTTTGTCGGCTTGCCGTCTGGCCCGTCAGCTTTTAAATATCAGATTGGCCGTCTGGCTATTTATGTTTCTTCTGCTGCCGCTGTTAACACACTGTGTTGATGCTATCATAACTTATGATCGCCAAATATTGCTGCACATCAGAAGTTCGCTGGAGACTCTATCTAAAGACTGCCCCATCACGCATGATCGTTTCCACTCTACATTCTCTCATCTACCGGCGGCATGTGTTCGCCGTTTACCTTGTTGTATCATCTACCAGTATCCGCGTGAGGATTAGGAGAGAATTCTCCTCGAAGCAATCATCTTGTTGCTCTTCCACACTTCTGACTGGACAAAATGGCCTTTATCTGACTCGGCATTCGTGGGATGTGAGATACGCCAATCATCTGCCCATCGTTCCGGATCAGAATCGGACACCTGACTACTGCGCTCCTGCAAGACTGTGCGTTCAAAGCAGAGGTGTGAATCTCCAAAATCTTCTTCCACTCAAGTATGTCCGACAATCACAGATACAAACTGTTCATTCTCACGTAAAAATGGCCCTGGTTAATGCCAGGTCTGTGTCTAATAAGACTTTTATTTTTAATGACTTTTTTTACTTGTCGCGGGTTAGACTTTTTATTTTTAACTGAGGCATGGACTGGAGCTGATGAGTCATCCATCTTTGGTGAACTATGTCCATTAAATTGTAGCTTTATTAGCACCCCAAGATATGTTCGAAGAGGAGGTGGGGTGGCTATGGTTTTTAGGAACCAGTACAAAATACAGACAATCTTTGCTGAGAACTTTTCTACATTCGAATCACAATGTGTACTGATAGAATCTCCTACCACTCCATTGCTATGTGTCTTGATTTACAGACATTCAAAGCCAGATAAAGATTTTATAAAGGAGTTTTCTGATTTCATATCTCATATTACATGATATGATCATCTGTTAATTTTGGGTGATTTTAATATTCACGTCTGCTGTTCTGGAAAGCCTATGGTCACTGAGTTTACTCATGTTGTGGACTCTTTTGGTTTTATTCAGCATGTTGATAAAGCTACACATGTACTTGGGCATACTCTTGACTTGGTTATGTCATATGGGTTTCCCATTGATAATATTAATATTGAAGATGCTTCTTTCTCAGATCATAAGCCTATTGTTTTTTTCATTCTGGGGCCATTACTTTTTAATCTGTACATGCTTCCACTTGATAATATAATTAGGAAATATAAAATCTATTTTAATTTCAACGCTGATGATTCTCCGTTATACATTCCATTAAAATCTAAACATTATCTGCAGCCTCTTATGGACTGTCTGAAGGACATTAAAATCTGGATGGCGAATAATTTCCTCCAGCTAAATGATGAAAGAACTGAGGTGATTATTTTTGGTCCCTCTAAAACCAGAAACTCTATAGTTAGTAACTTAGACAGTCTCACTCCATATGTTAAGTCACATGCAAAAAATGTAGGTGTTATTTTTGACTCTGAGCTTTGCCTTGAAAAGCAAATTAGCTCAGTTGTTAAAAACAACTATTATCAATTGAGAATCCTTTCTAGACTTAAATCAACACTTTCCTTTCAAGACTTGGGAAAAGTTATTCATGCATTTATCACATCACGATTGGACTACTGTAATTCCTTATACCTAGGCCTTCCCCGATCTTCACTGGCTCGTTTGCAGATGGTCCAGAATGCAGAAGCCAGATTGTTAACTGGTGCAAAAAAACGTGATCACTTACTGACAGAGCCTTTGCAGTAGCTGCTGCACGGTTATGGAATCAGTTGCCACCTGACATTAAGAGTGCTCAGTCTATTTCGGTTTTTAAGTCTAGACTTAAAACGCATCTTTATTCTATGGCCTTTCCTGATTTTTAATTTATGGATTAGTATTGTTATCTTGTATTTTATTTTATTGTATTTTATTTTATACTTTACTGTATTTTATGATTGTTTTGTACAGCACTTTGGTCAGTGTAAGCTGAATTTAAATGTGCTCTATAAATAAAATTTACAGATGGTAATTAGAGTACTACTGAAGGAATACTACTATATGGTACTTTGAAGCACTTCAGGAAATACAATAGAATTGCATTAAAACTGTTCAAGAAACAAAGTAATGTCATACTTTTAAAACTAATTTTGATTGAATTAAAAATAGAGGATTAATCTTTTTAAATTCCAGGAATCATGAGATTACGTGCTGTTAATCCGCTGACTGCTAATACATTTTATTTATTTGTGTATAACAGTAACAGTAAGAAATAGTTGCTGTCATTGTCACCCACCTTTAGTTTGCTCACTATAACTTGGAGTTTTCTAAGGGAATATTGTCTATAAAGTTAATACTTATATTTTGTAGAGAACTACATTTACTGTGAAAAGTGCTATACACTTTTTGAATTGAATTAAAATGTTTCTTTCCAAGTTTATCCTTTTAACATCCCTGCTGGAAAAAAAAACAGCCTAAGCTGGTTGGCTGGTCTTAGCTAGTTTAAGATGGAAGTAGCTGGTTTTAGCTGGTCTCCCAGCCTGGCTAAGCTGGTCAAGCTAGTCTCCCAGCCTGATCAGTTAAAGAAGTGGCCAAAACCCCTCTAAACCGCTGTTTGTGCGCAAGTGGGGGAGCCCCCTTGTTTTTTTTTTTTTTATAACGGGGGTGGGGGGTTCGTGCGCTCAAAAGAGGGCAATGTCTTACAAAGATACATAACAGCTACAAGTGTATGCACTACTTGCTTTATGCAAGCACTATATAGGATAAATCACTATACAGGATTTACCCTATTATACGTTATCGACACGAATTGATAGGTGCAACAACAAACAGCCACCCACAAATAGTCTATATACAAAGCATCAGGCTGTCTTTGAGTTCACATGAACAACGGTTAAAGTTACTCGTCGTCAGGCTACAGAAGAATACGCTCCCCCGTAGTTCGCACCCTGGGTTTAACCCACGTGCTGATCTGAACCAGATTCTCCACCTGCTCCACTGAGGCGCGATATTTCGAGCACTCACTGCTATTGTTAGAGAGGTGATGTAATTCACGGTGGACTTGAAGCGGACGCGGACGGAAGATGGTTATGAGGAGAAAGACAGAGATTACTGTAGTCCAGCGGCGCCTAGACTGACACCTTTGTTTTGATCGCGCAAGCAAACTTCCACGAGGGCGCGCGGGATGTATTTGTATCTTTTGTTTATATGCGTTCTAGGAAAATCTGCAGTTCGATAAACCTCCCGGGCCGCGACTGTAAACCTACAGAAGCCAGCAGCACCGTCGCCCCCTCTCCAGCCCCACTGGTTGGCTCTCCCTCACCGCACTCCGTGTTGACCTCATCTGGACTAGAGGGAGGGAGAGAGAGAGAGAGCGCGCGCGCGGCTTGCGATGACAGCTGAGAGATGAGCATGGCCAGATGACCGTGTCAAACACCGACGGTCCCGGGCAGGCGCTCTTACTAATGCTGTGACACAGTCACGTACTGTTTATTGCGGAGGAATGGACATTTGATCACTTCAGAGTTCCCGTGAATGGGCTGATTTCGGAGTAATTTCGGAGTTCCAGCTTCTTCGAGCGACTCTTCAAACATGAATAATACGAAGAATCAGCGAGTAAGTGACGACGTTTCGCCGTGTGCACTCACAGATTTGATCACGATGGCATATTTTGCCTGCACTGTCAGGGTTTGTGTTATAAATGTGGTTTATGTCGTAAATATACTCTAGTTTGATGTTAATGCATCTGTGTGATGGATGTTATGTTGTTATCTCAGGTAGCGCTGCGCGTTTGTGTGCAGGTGCGCGTGCAGCAGCAAGGTCAAGATACCCAACGCGCACTCAATACCTGCATACACGAGAGGCGCGGAGGAGGCTTTTCATTTCAGCCTGGCTATATCACACTATATTTTCTTTTGGTGTGCTATTGTTGAGAAATTTAGCCCTCATCTCTGTTCTTGTTTTTAAAATCTTATTAACTTTTAATCCAATGATTTTCCAATCAAGATTAAGTTATGTTGGCCATAAAGAAGGACTGTACATTTTTCATAATGACAAGATGTGGCAACATGCATTGCCAAAACAGAACAACTGGCTGTATCACACTATATTTTCTTTTGGTGTGCTATTGTTGAGAAATTTAGCCCTCATCTCTATTCTTGTTTTTAAAATCTTATTAACTTTTAATCCAATGATTTTCCAATCAAGATTAAGTTATGTTGGCCATAAAGAAGGACTGTACATTTTTCATAATGACAAGATGTGGCAACATGCATTGCCAAAACAGAACAATGGCAATTTCAATTATAAAATAGCATTCCTATTAAATTGTTTTAATGATTGCACAGGATTGTGGCAGGAAATCATTATTCTTGAAACAGTGATTCTACTGTACTGCAGTAACTGAACTCTGTAATGGGAGTGCAGTTTTCCAGCAAAAAATCACCCCAATGAGGGGTCATTGTTGGGCCCATTGCAAAATTTCCTCTTGTTGTGTTTTCTTAGAGGGCTTGAAATGGAACCAGAGAACTACTTTTGTAGGTTTGTGTTGAGACCCTTTAAGTCGTCTTACACAGTTCATGGTTGAGATAGCATTAGCTGTTAAACCTCTGAGTATAGTGTTGACATAAACATGAGGTCTGTTTACAAAAGAGCACTGTAGATTATTGATGTCCGACTTGTAAAAGTAAGTTTGTCAAACTGGTTTGAATCAAATGGGTTGGTAGTCAAATTGCTTTTGAATATTATATTTTCAATGAGTTAGTTGAACTGGTTCATATCAAACTGGTTAGTAAACAAATCACTCTTTTGAATCTGATATTTTCATTGATTCAGTTGAACTGGTTTCGAATTAAACTGGTTTGAAGAATTCAAACGAGTGATCTGAACCATTCTTTCACAAATCAAGATTTCTTTCTGGAATTGGTCCAAGCTGTTCTTGGGTCACCAAGATGAGAATGGTCTCTTTCGGAGATGTTCGATGAGTGATCTTATATTTAAAGAGCAGGTCATATGGGTTTTTGAAAAATATCTCTTTTGCAGTTTATAACGTAGCTATCCTTAAATGAAAACAATCTGCAAAGTTGTTAATCAAAAAAGTGCATGATAAATAAAGATATTGTCTCTCAAAAGAAAGAGTCGATTCTGAATCGCCTTAACGAATCGTCATATTTTCGAGTCTTTTGCCTGTTACCGGTATACGTCACTGGGTAACACATTTGCATAATCCCCGCTTGCCTGCGAAATACGAACAGAGTCGTCACTGTGAACCCACTATTTCCTAAGAATGTGTCGAATAATGTAGACTGATGCTGTTCTAATTACTTTGTTTAATAATAAAGAATGTAGTGTAGCACACAGACTTTATAATCATTGTGAAATTGCTGTTTATTTTGCTGCACCGGCAGTTATAGGGTTAATGCGGGAGAGATGAGCGAGTTAGTTAGGCTGCTAAGCCTGTGATACAGCTGTTCTGCGTTCTGATTAAAAGTTAAGACAGAGCGTCTTTTGTCTGTCGTTCTTCAAACATTACAGTAGACATATTTTGGTTTACAAACTGTATTGTTTCATCAGTTAGTCACATTAGCACTCGGCTAACGTATCCACCATTATTGTTTTAAGTGTTCAGTTTAGCAGCTAAACTTTAGCTGTGGGCACAATTCGCTTGTATAAGTGTTTTTGTATTTTATGTCATTATTATAAGAACGGATTGGAGCACTATATTATTGTTTTATGTAAAGGTGCTTTGTCAATGGTAGCACTCGCTTACTTGCTCAAGGACTCCTCTCTGTGCCAATCACAGCAGGCTTGGCCAGCTGACCAATCAGAGCAGAGTAGGCTTATGGAAGGGAGGGGTTTGCTCCGAACTTGCTTGGAACGAATCGTTTAGAAATCATTGGCAAATGACTCTAATATTAAATGTATATTATGTGAAAATTACAATGTTTTCTGACCTTAGATGCATTAAATCCTGTTGTAGGGGACTCCAACACAATATTAGGACACTTTAAAATACCATATGACCTGCTCTTTAAAATTGAATAAGGATTTGACTGATGGGATGATAAGGAAGTTTAATAGTCAAACAGCAGAACTGTATTATTATTTAATGCAAATTATATTTAGATTATATATGACTTTATTAAAACATTTTAGATAATATAATACTATATAATAGAACCACTGAATTATTTTTTGGAACTGGTTCTTTGACACATACTGAACGGATTAATGGCCAGACTTCCCATCAGTGATGTTCAGCTGTTATCCCTCTTATCGTGTTACATCTATTGAAGGTAGGGTAGGCTAGCAATAGCAAGCTAGCTTTGAAAGCATAAGATCCCACCCTCCCTGCGAATCACTCTCCAAAGCCACGCCTCCTCCAAAACACATGAATGCGCACAGGCAGACCAGAGACTAACCAGCAACACGATGAGAGACGGCGTTGGTGGATGGTTGAATGCAATGCTGTCATATTACCTCATGGCTCATTCACCTGTAAGAAAACATTACTGTACAAAGCTTATAATATTATACAGTAATAACGCGTCCACTCTTGCTTGGTCTGCAATAGTGTAATGGAATGCGCCAATGATGTATCATGTCTGTGCAAATAGGGTGCACTGAGGTATGCAAATACATTGGTAGGACAGCCTGTCGTAGCCCTCAGACCAAGGTATATGATTGGAGGAACATTTTATGGTCCTACACCTTCCACAGACGATATATAATACATATACTGTAAATACATTTAGACCACTTAACTTAGTGATTGTTATCGGGATGTGAAGAGACTTTCAACCAGCATAACAAAAAAAGGTTTTTGAACCAAATCACCTACCCTGCCATTTAAGTCATATAAATCTGCACAATCCTGTAAATTTTCAGAGGTCTCAAAATTAGCCCACGGTCTTTGCCACTCTATATCAGAACTTAAACCTGAGGCGCTCCCCTATCCAAACATTCAGATTCTCTCTTCCTTCTGTTTCACTTTTTTGCTGTTTTTGCTGTTTGCTGTGTTGTTGTGAGGGTTCAATGTCAGGACCGTGTTAAACCCCTGGCAGTCTGATGCAGAAAAGGTCAGGTTTGAAGAGACGATTAGACGCAGAGACAGCTTGCTCTTTTCGCTTTGAAGATTTCTTGAATTGTTTTAAATAATTTTGTTTGTGACCCTCAATGTGGTGTTTTCTCTCAGGAATTTAATCATTGAAGATCGATGTGGGAATGTTTGGTGGCTTGTCATGATGTACACGATTCAGTCCAGTCCTGCTAGCTGCTGCAGGCAAATCATTACTGTCTAGTCTGACTGCATTTAGAAAATCAATATTTGCTGAAGAGATGCTGTTTCTTCCTCCCAATTGTCTTCAGAGATGCAGCTACAACATATGAGCTGCACAACATTGCCGCTTGAGAAATTACAGCTTTAGACTTTGTTTGTAGATTTCATGTCATAGTTGCATTTTGATTTTGAGATAAAATATCTTATATATCTTCATACATTGTGTGCGGAACTGCTTTCTTAAGCATTAATTTCAACTTATTTCAAATAATTGTCACTTAGACCATTATTCAGTTCAGATTTGACTTCCATGTGAAGTCATGGGAGACTCTCTCAGCAGCAAGACCATTTATTGTCAAGCAAGACTGTGTATATTTTTTATTTTGACAGTACCATTTATCTGTACGGACAAGAGAATGACAAGAAGTGTAGATGGTTTGAGACGGAGACAAAGAGATGGACGGGAGAAATTTCACTGTGTCTGCCAGTCTGAGGTTGAAATGCCAATGTGTTCACCACACTGGAGCACTGCTGAATTCTCAGCTTCACTCACACTCACATAGCCCATATGGAAGTGTGTATTCATGAGTGCCTGCTCATATGTTTGTGTGTGTGTGTGGTGGAATCTGTTAGCTGCTAACAATTTTAAGGCCTATTCACACCAAAAGCAAAACAAAAAGAGTTTTTGTATAACCAATATAAATCGTTATTTTTAACATGGCATTTCAACCAGAGGATAATTTCTACCAATTTAGCTGATTTATTTCAAAATACTTAAAGCAAGAGGTAAAAAACAGAGTAAAAATGTAGTTAAAAATATTCAGGGAATGTTTTTGCCAAATGAACACAAAGAAAGATATTTGGTCATTTTCATTTATATGCAACAGTGTGACAATTTACTAAACCTTTTAATGTATGAAAATGTCTGTGAACATTTTTGAATCAGAGTTTTGAATCAAATAATCTACTAGAATTGTTTCAACTGATTTGCATAAATAAACTAAAATAAAGCTTATAAAAATCATATTTTTTTAATAGGTGAGGTGTGAAATAAGAAATAAGAAAGATTTGCAGAAATAAGTGTAAAAAAAACAATAGTCTGCTGGAATGCATTGTTCAATGTAAATTGTAAAATTTGTCCTAGTAAGTAAACTGATTTTAAATATACCTGCTTTTTATGTAGGCTATATGTGTATATGTCAGGGAGGCACATTCCCAGAAAAGGCAGAGATTTATTGTGTTGGAGACAGTGTTTGTGTGAGGGATATTTTTAATGGAGTTATTAAATATTCATGTGTCAAAGCTGTGTTTTCATACTCAAGTTAGAAAACGGCATTCT